GTTATACAAACTAAGGAACATAAAATACTTTATTTAAAACAATTATGAATTTATCTAGTGCTATGGAGCTGCACAAAGAGAGAGAATGTAAAGAGCTAACACGATAAATGTATTCCTGATTAACCTCAAAAGTGCAAGGACATAGATTAGATTGTTTAAGATACAATATAAAATATCAATTGCTTATATCATCTACATTTTGAAAAGAAAACTCTTTATTAATATATATCTTTTTTTTCTCCAAAAACATGCGTATGCCCTTGCAATAGCGTCATTTTCTACATTCAGTTAAACAATTCTATTTTTATACCACTCACGTGACGCACAATTGAGACTTGCGATATAACTGGTACTGAGTACAGCACAAACCTATCCATTATGGATATCTCTATTACCTTTCCTACATATATTACTTTGTTACAAAGATTTTTTAAAATAATATGTATTCAGAATGTACTAAGATCGCATTTTCCTTTTTCTTCCTTAACATAGCTGAGCTAAAGACAAATTTTACAGATTTTATGGAAGCAAAGACATTCTTTGTAAATAAAACTATATGCATATGAGTTGTATTTTGATTGAAAAATGTATTTCATACCAATCGTTATACCAGTCCTTATCGTGTTGGACTGTTTGTCCCCGAGAGTCTCTATTGCCCAGCAGCTACATGTAAGTATTTCGGTTCTAGCTTGAAAATACTGATATATATTTAATGTTGTGATAAAATTTAGAAATGTATTTCAAAATGAAGGATTATCTCCCTTATGCATACCTCTGATCCTTCGATGTGTTTGGCTTCAGTCTTTGGCACCCCTATTTCAACTCTTCAAAGTTTTTTTTTTTTTTTTGCTTGCTTTCTTGCCAATTTTTACGACTTAAAATAGAACAGGTTTTTTCTACCTCCTCTTTTTCATTATTATAACCTTTCATAGTGTATGAAGATGAACATGTATATTATTTAATGTTGAAACAAACCGAAGAAATATTTAGGATATTAACAAATTTATTGTGTATATGTATTAACTTAACTTTGTATTATTGTAAAAGGTAGAAAATACAATTATACGTGGGTTGATCCAAATTTCATGCCTTAAATTTTGTGCCTTAAATTTCATTTAGTTCTGTAAAAAACTTTTTGAAATATTAAAAACGTAAACACAACTTTTTGTCTCATCTCTCGCTGCACGTCAATAATGTAACGACGCCTTTATGACGTTTCTCTTCGACACTCACATTGAATCTGAAGATACATTAGATTTACACAAAACAGAATGAATTTAGAAATAATATTTGGACAAAAATCAAATGATATTATTACTTCAACTTAAAACAAGACGGTTTATATCAAAATGGAAGTAAAGATTATTGGAAAGAAGCACGTGAAAGGTTAAAGAGAAATGCAGATGAACTGAAAATGAGTGCTGAAAACTTCAAGCATGTAACAACGTCCGAAACATTCTTGTCGCGCGGCGATAGACAAATCTAGAGTTGTGTTTATCTAACTATTTTAAAAAGTATTTAATATAATTAATTGATTTTTTTCAAAAAATCAAAATAGATAGGGACAGGGATAGTATGTCAAATTTTGTTAATAACATCTAATCATTAAAGATTTTATGACAGTTGTGACATTACTTTGGATCAACCCTGGTATAATAATTTTGTTTCACTTGATTTTTACTCTTTTTAATTTCTTTTTTCTATGTAATTAGCTGAATAAAGACACTTTCATGATATTAATTCCAAGTTGTCTAATTGTTATCTTGTCTATTTTGAACCTTTTCTATTTTTGGCTAACAAAAAGGACCAACTTAAAAAAAATCGCAAAAATATAATACATCATAAATGTTTGGTAGATGATATTCAGATTTGCTAAAATACATATTTATTTCCATTTTCAGGAAGACATGACCAATAAATGCTGAACTTTCAGTATTGGCAACTAAAAAGATATTTGCTTAAGGCTTCTTTATAATTACTTTTGATATTGAAACCAATTATATCATATAAAGGTGAAAATACTATGTTTATCTTTTTTTTTCATTTTCAACATAGAAAAATGTGTAAAGACAACGAGGTATTGGTGAACAAAAATCAGTGCTTAATTTGTAATAAAAATGCGCAGATCAACGTTTATTTAATTTGTCGTAAATTGTATGACTTGATAACAAACAAATAAATATATTGTATATTTCAATTTAATTTATTGAAGTTCTAGGGAAAGATAATTCTAACTGCATGAAATACCAAGGAAAGAAACCTCTTTACTGTGCGATGATTAGAGGGTCCAAAAGACTCATTGTTCCATAAAGGATAAAACCATTGTATAAGCACATCTACATTGTTTAGTCTGTTTATGACCGGTCAGCAGGAGATGCTCACTCCTCCATGGCACCTGATCCCACCTCTAAATTTTGAGGTCCATGTTTTCTCTGCACCTCATTTGTATCGTTTCATTAGACTTTCGATATTGAATACTGTTCGTTATCTTTATATTTCATCACATCAATCAAGTTCGAAAAGTTCACAACAGGAGTAATAGTTTGTGTGACAAATGTACGTAATTAAGAAAAAGATTTCGTTTTTTTTTTTTTTTTTTTTTTTTTTTTTTTTTTTTTTTTTAAATCACTTGTACCTTCCTCGTGTTATGTATCAGAACGCTTAGTCAATGATAAAACATAACTATTCATTGATTGAATTTGGATTGTACATGATTCCTCATAAATAACTCTCTTTCTTTTCATCACTTGGCTGTACTCATCTGAGGAACCATCTTCGACTACCACATTAATTTTGTTTTCTCGAAGTTAAATTGATCGAATGTTGTCCAATTTGATTTCTTTTCAGATACTCTTGCTTATTTTTATCACTTTCATAATGTAAACTTTTATTTTCTTCAATCTCAGAAATTTTGTTGAATGGTGTTATGCCAATAGCACTACTGGAAAGTTCATTGTAATTTGTCATATTTTTTGGTCTTGTTCCAAGAGGTGTAAGTTTGCCATGTTCTGATGACGTTAAATCTTTAAGGCTTTCTATTTTATCCTTCATTGCTACAACTACTATTGAATCTCTGTGACAGGTCGCTTCATTTTGTAGACGGACGACTCTGTCACAGATATTCCTCTTGCTTGTCTCTAGCATTCTCATTTCCATGTCTTCTGAAGAATAAAGTAATTTCAAAGTTAAGACTTAGGGTAAAACATTGTGCAAAGACAAACCATTGATTATTTCGAATTATGAATAAAAGTGAATTCTTAGCAAGACAAATAATTTGTGATTTCACAGTAAAAAAAAAGGATATAGTTTTGGGATGAAGTAATTTTAGCGATTTTATGAAGTCAAGTAAGCTAGTAATACACTTTTCTAATTGCTAAAATTCTCCTTATATGGTACATTTTGACATTTTGACACCAGTCTCTGCTATAAAGACTTCATTGTCATCAACATCTTCATAAACAACAATGACAAATGAATGCTCTGGCACTGTGTCAAAAGTGTGTGATTTGGGATCTACATCAAAATCATTTTGGCCCGATTTACCATCTACATTCACTGCATGAAAAGTTGCGTTTAATATAATTTAATAAATTTGTTTACTTAATTAAATTTCTTGTTTTGAATTTAATTTATGTATAACGTTACATTATATATAAAATATATTGTGATATAATTTACTACATTTTTCAAATAAGTATAATCAGATTTAATGCAAAAAACATCGAGAATAATATAGTTTAATAGAAGAAATTATACGTTTCGTTTAAGAAAATCGACATGTAAAAGTAAATCCGCTTATACTTTAAGTTTAAGTATGTTTTTGGTATTTTATATATGTGATAAATAATGTGTCAATAATTTTTTTTATTTTATACAGAATAAATATTGTTTACATATTTATTATCGCAAAAAGACAAAAACATTTACATTAAAGCATCCTATATATATCGCTTTTGTTTGGCTTTTTATTAACTCTGAAATAATTTAATATTGACAATGTATATTATTAGTACGGTAGTACTAGATCTAGATTTGTCGAAAAAAAATGTATTATGAGACTGGATCAAATTGTTCTGTTTACTTTGATGCTGTTTATTCTAAAACCTACTCGATCCCGGTTGGTAGCCAAAATTGTCCAGTTTCAAAGGATCATCTCTCTCTCTCTCTCTCTCTCTCTCTCTCTCTCTCTTTCTCTCTCAGCCTTTACTTAACGCATTGCATAAAATATTAATTCAATCAGATTTTGAACGTACAAAAATTAATTTGAGAATGACGCAAGACTTACTACTTATTCAAGTATTCTGGCGATAGACCACTGTCATCAAAAATATTGGTAGAACATACTTTAAAAACACATGAAACAGGTGCCCCACCCTGAAATTTTAACAATTTTATTATGAACCAAATGAATAAAGATATTTGAATTTTTTATATAACGTTTGATTCAGGAGAATATCATGAGAGAGAGAGAGAGAGAGAGAGAGAGAGAGAGAGAGAGAGAGATTTAATTCGAAAGAGATTTTACTTTATACTGAGATCGCTGCTGTATTTGCAAATATATCGAATTTTGTAAAAAATGGACTGTGCTACACTCTTAATAATCATAGATTGTTATTTACTATTGTATTTATCTATAAATGCTCATATATTTAAAATTCTTAAAGACGACTTAAATCTAATTTACTTAACATATCTAATTAAATATTAGGAAAAAAATCATCAATATGTCATGATCATATATATACACCTCAGGCTCAGTTTTTCTTTTTTTTATAATAGAGTTATCTGCCCTTCCAAAAAATTTAAATCAAAATCTTTTTTTTTTAATTTTCTTTCCTTTTAAAGTTTGAGAAATAATAATACAAAAAATCAAATAGGCCTATCTAATATAAAATGATTTTTCCCTCTACGCGCACGCTATACATAATTATAAATTAGCCAATCAAAATCAGGCAGCAGCATCGCAAATATTCCGAGTCCGCCAAACAGCAGCAAACATGTCGGACAGGCCAAGTATCGGAAATTAGTGAGGAGGATGAATCCTTATCATGCTCATGGAATAGTTTCGATTCACCAGAACCATCGGATTCATACGTCGATGAAATTATTGGGGAAAATGCAAGACATTTGAGAAAGGGAAGAAAAGGGCACCTCAACATGCTCAAGGTCAAGCAGGTAAACATACTGTTTAAGAAAAAAAAGATGGCGAAAAAGTCATTATTTACATGTACATCAACACTAGCTGCAAAATCTAGCTCGCTGGTCTGAAACAATTGGGATGTACGACCAGTCTCCGGTCTGTCAATATATATTTTTTCGGAGAGCTACAGTTCTGCAGCTACATCAACACTAAAAAACGTGCAACATGACCATGATGACCTTCAATATCTATAGATGACTCGTATATATATGTATGAACGTCACACTATGTTATATCCAACGTAACATATTGGGGCAATTTGAGACGAAAAATAAAACATTTTTAGCTGTATAACTATTCAATATGGTATGTCATAATAATCCTTTGGCTAAAACCTTCATAAAAATGACTGACATGTAAAAATGAGCATAATATGTCCGACGGTGAAACCGTTAGGGCGAGCGCAGTTCATTTTCTAAACCTCAACACATCTCAAATGTCGTTTTACATTGCTTATTACACTTTTATCGCGCGTTTACTGAGTATCGTACATAATTTTTTTTGTAAACCGTTATTGACGTACATATTCTCTAACGTTGCAGACTCCCAATGCATTGGTATCGAAATTCCTAACTTCTCGGATATTTCCGACAAAATTGGAAATACCCAAGTCGTTGAAGTGACAAAAATATGACGTCACATACAAAGTCATGTTTACCAGGGATGCAAGCGATAGTTTTGTGGGTAATTACGGCACATGGAAATTGAATTAATTCGTTATTGATTAATTTTATCAAGTAAGTTGTTGCTATGCTTATGCCACCATGTTGCTATGCACCGCAAAGGATTATTGGGAGTATGGAATATTTTCACATGGGACGATAAAAATTTCTTTGAACAATGTGCAGATTTCAACCCGAATTTCCTCCGTTCGTACACGTTGTCTATGGAGCTCGCTTTGTGAGCGGCGCTTTGCGCCGCCTCACTGCGCTCGCTATTAACGCACATGTCGGAGGAATAGCGCATGGAATTGTGCATAAACACTCACTGATAAAGGAAAAAGTATTCGCTGATTTCACATAAAATATGATAGATACAATAGATCAAGTGTAATTGTTATTTAATATTTTTTATCGTATTCTTGAACTTGACTGTACTAATTTCTCAGCATTTGATTTTTTGTAGTTTTTCTGCATGTAGAAAATGACATCACAATCGCATTTGTTTACTAACAGCTCACAGTTTCCCAAAAGTGAAGGAGTAAGGGGGTTTTATAGAGATACACAAATGTACTGTATTACTCAAATAGAATTAATGTGCAAAAGTTTTATTTCATTATTTCTATAGCTGAAATTAAAAGAATGCTAGAATTCATTACCAAACAAAACATTTTTTATAGGCCAAATAATTATACCCCGGCTAGGTCCCTTCAGAATGAGAGGGCAGTATAATACCGTTTTTGTCTGTCTGTCTGTGCATGCATGTTTTTGTCCATAACGAATTTCCGTCACAGTTCTCAGCAACTGCTAATTGCAGATGCTTTAAATTCTAATTCCTATATACAGCAAAACTCAAATTTAACAAACATAAATACAGATAGCGAACTTTTATTCATGTCCAGCAAAGTCCTTATATAAACCTATAGAAAATCGCTGTATGTAACGAACATGGCTATATATAACAAATTTATGGCTATAACGAGGTAATTTTAAGATATTTTAATGCATTTTTTTTCATTTAAGTATAACAAATATTTTTCATTACAAATTTCATTAAATATACATAAGGTTTTAAGATCATGATGAGGAGTTTGATGAAGATGCAGATGACACTACATTAGCATTGACAGGGATTTTTTTAGGGTCTCTCTGGGGCCGAAATTCGGCCCCATTCCCAATGCTGAAAAGTGCATGTTTTTCCCAAAATCATACCTAAAAATTCCCAATATGAAAAAAAGTATTAAGTTGTAAATTATTAAAATAATGACAAAAAGGTGTTTATGTTCTCTATGTGCGATGTACGAGCCATCCGAGGGCTTCCGAGAAGTTATTCAGAATACTACGGATGTTTGCATGCATACTTTTTAAAGCGGGATCGATGTTTAAAAATTAAAGTCGGGATTGTTATCTAAAAAATAAACGTGCATCATGTCAGGCTCTCCAGTTTGCCTAAGACGGTAATTTTCAAGCTGGGTTGAATCGCTTTTATTCTTATAAATTGGTCAAACAATACCGATTAACCACTCATCTGGAACAAACCCACTATCAAATGTTATTTTAAAGAACTTCTTACATAAAGGTAAAAAAGATGACAATGTATAAATATGTTCATTTACAATGTTATCATACCCTGCGGCTTTGCCATTTTTAAGCTTCTGAACTTCAAAAGCCGCTATTATTTAATATCACTAAAGTTGGTTTTAGCCAGCTTTATACTATAAAAAATAAGAAAAATGATTAAATATTTGACTTTTGCTTGTTTTTTCCTATTTATTTGTATGAACATATTTTTCCCAATTTCAACCAAATATTGCTATTTTTCCCAATCTTGACGGCCCCGGCCCCTGGAATCAAAGTGTAAAAAAATCCCTGCATTGTTAACTCAGAAATTTAATGGATCCTTTTATGATATTGTTCATGTTGACAATAAATTTGGGTTGTGGACACCCGAGTCATCAATAAATACTCCATATGTTTGTGATTCACCATGTATGTAAATCATATATATTTGCCACAATTAAAAAAATTGTTCTGGAAATAAAATCTTTATTTCATCGGTTCTATTTTTAATTTGTTACAGATGTATCCGGTAGCATGGATATGATTATGAAGCTAAAGGATGAATATATATGGCAGGTTTCATTATTTTCTGACATTTCAAATGCATTGGTTAGATAATATTTAAATGTTCAAATCTAAATATTATACACTAAATTCTTTAATTGTGCATCTAAGGAAGTGAAAAGGTTGTCTTGACAATTTTTGTAACTGAGGGTGATATCGAGTATATAACATACAATAGTTTGAAGTACTGTTAGCTGACTGTTTTATAACAAATTCGGTATAGGATTTCTTATGAATTCACTATATTAAACGTATAATGAATTAAGATTATAGCGAAGATCTTTCTTTGGTCCCTTGAAATTTGCTATGAAGAAGTTTTGCAGAATTGCTGTAATTGCAATATATGTATTTATGTTATTCCCATATACTTTGTAATAATGTATACTGTATACAAGTATTGTAACTAACTTCTGGAATACATTACTGGGATTCATTTTTGTTTAAATGTTATGTCAACTTCTTGTCAAATGATCATGATGATAGCACAGTTATTTTTAACTGACTTGTGTATTCACATCAAAAGGGGGGGGGGGGGGGGGGGTTATATCACTATTGAGCATTCATGATTGGCTCACAGATTTCTTGTTTTGTTAAAGCTACAATTATAATAAAGCAACATGTATTATGATAAAGCTAAATGATGTACTATCATTGTGTCTAGCTTCAAATGATTTCATTTAAAGGCATAATCAGGATGTTTTATTTGTAATTGATATGTTAATCTGTGAATGTATACTTTCAGACTGCTGCGCATGATGGATATCCCCATGACAATTCACAAAAGCTTGAATGGAAACTGAAATCTGATGGTGGAAACCAAACGTTGAAGTAAGAAAAAAATTAATAACATGTACTTTTAAGCTCACAAGAGCTGAAAGCTTAAGCGAGTTTTCCTGATCACATTTTGTCGTCTTCCATCTGTCTTTCTATCTAACCATAAAAAAAAAATAGTAAAATTTTCAAGGGGAGATGATTTAAATTTAATGAAAATGTCTTTCTATCTAACCATAAAAAAACTAGTAACATTTTCAAGGGGAGATGATTCAAATTTAATGAAAATGTATTGGCAATTTAAAAGAAAATCTTGAACCATTTATCCAGAAAAATTGAAACTTACGTTGAAGCATCCTCAATTAAAGTAGCTTTTAGTTTGTTTAAATCATCGTACCTTATTGTTTTCCATGATATGTGATTAAATATCTGTACATGTGTGTCAGACATAGTTGAACAGGATATCAGATGACCAAACTCTACTTGGCACCTTAAATATTGTGTATTGATATGAATACATATCATATGAAAATTGTACTATGACATGCTGATCACTCGAAAGTAGGGTGGGGCTACACTAAATCATATATTCTTGTTCCTTGCAATTGTCAGATCTTAAAAACACTACTTGTGTGGCATTTCAAGTGTTATAAAGATCTAGACATATGACCCCATGAGGTGCTCCTGACCCCCCCCCCCTTTTTTTTTTGTTTTGGTCAAAGTTATGGCCATGGTTGCCCAGGTGAGTGATGTGGCCTTTGGATCCTTTGTTGGTTTGAAGTATTTATTAAATTTTTACTGAAAGACAAGAGAAAATAAACAATCTACCAACAATTAAGCTATGATAGAGGTAGCCATCTAGTGGATAAGAAATGTTGATATAGAACATGCATATACCATTACTTGGTAATTTATTTTTGGATCACATTCAATTTCAAATGCTGGAATGATTATGTTAAAGGTAAACGTATTAGTTTATGGATTATGTAGAATATTTTCTGTGGAATGAAAGTTATAGTACTGTTCTTTAAATGGAATTCAGGTAATTTGATATGATGAGATCATGTGTTGCAGACCTTCATCAGATGGAAACAAAGAAATGACTGAACATGTATGCCAGTACGTCGTAGGCATCTATCTAGCTTGCTGAGCATTTGTTAGAGGTCAGTATAAAGCATATCTTTAATCTAGAATAAAAAATGTAAAGTTTATGTAATAATATTTAAATGTATGTTAAACATACTTCATTATTATATAGTCTATTTAAAGTCCTTACATAATCTATACAAGCGCAAACAGTTCATAACACTACATAATCACCGGATTTGAGGCCTTATTTACCAGAGGGTCAGTGCGCATGCAGCGGCATTGTGACATCACAATCAACACCTCAAACAACATTGTAAACAATGGTTGCAACGGCCGCAGCCAGCTGTGTATCTGAGCAGGAAAAATGTTATACATTAAACCTATCACAGGATTATATGGACATATTCCTCATAGCGTAACTTGGAAAGAAAAACACGGAAGTTACAAATTGTAATCTGAACATTTTTTTTCTATTTTCAATGACGGAAGTTCTTAAATGAAAATGGTGTCGTCATGCAGCCTTCAATATCTTATTTATTCAAATCTGGACTATATAACAAAACAATAATTATGGACTCTTATGGTGTTGAATATACATGTAGTTTTTTAATCACCAGAAAATATCAATATTGACCTCGGCTTCGTCTCGGTCAATATTGATATTTTTCTGGTGAGTGGTGAATAACAAACCACATTCAACACCAAAAGAGTCCATAATTGTATAATATTTAATACATCTGGTGAATGATGGTATCATTTATATAAAAATACTTTAATTTAATCATGTACTTTTTTATTTGATTTGGAAGTCAAAAATTCAAACATTGCTCATATGATGATAGTGGAAGAAAAGAATTGTTAACTTCTGAAAGAGATCAACCAAGTGCAAAATTCAAAAAGACTTGGACACAGAGCTCAAAATTTTTTATAATTATATTTTTTCATTGTTAATGTCTAGAATTAAATAAATGCAATGTTAATTTGCTCACAGTCAATAAAGGGTATATGTTACTCTAGCTGTGGGTTTACTTTACAACCTTGGATATTTGATATATGTGTGATTGTAATCTCAAGTTTTGAAAAAGAATCTTAATAATCATTTATTAAATAATGTATCTTACTAAAGATTTCAGACATTCTTAACTTTTGCTAATTTTTGCTGCAATGTCATATTTTAGGTGCAATACACATATACTTTCAATCCATACAAGACGAAGAAACGCCGATTGGAAAAGCTGATTCCATTAAAGCAAAGAATGGTGATGTACCAAAGAAAGTGGCGTTCTGATGAATGTTAAAAAGTATTCGAAGAACTAGACACCAAAAGTGCCACTCACAAATCAAAGCTGTCTAAAAGGCAGAGCATCAGAAGAATTAGGATAAATAAGGAATCCAAAAGAGACAAACCTGATGATGTAGCGATTGAACAGAAATGGGCTATTAGAGATCAAATATCTGAGTTGCTACTGTTTTGCATAATTGTGTTGCTTTTTTTACTTAACTTGAATTGACATATTCAAATGTTATATAAGAAAAATATACCTAGTGTTGTATTTTTGACAGTTAAAGTGTTTTCTGATGCTTGATTACAGATTAAAACTCGGTCATATTTTTTATTGTTTGAAGATCGATTCGCTTATTTTGTATAGTACACATGCACATACATTTTTAATCTTGATTTATGAATTACATTTATGTACAAGTTTGACTTAAATAATTAGTGTATGGACAATTATTGTGAAAAGAAGTAGGAGACAATGCAAGGGTAGTCTGAAAGAGCTTTGCTGGCAGTAAGTTGCAGATCTTGATACCCAAGTAAGAGAAAGGTGGTGTCTAAGACCGATCCTTTTGCTGTTGCTTGTGGGCGAGTGAGGCTTCTCTGTCAGTGGCTTAGTTTGTCTTAGATGTAAAAAATAGACTAAACAGACCAGATAAAGAGATTTCTGAGTAAATAGGGTAAATAGTGATTTTAATGTATATTATATTGCAAGAGTAAGAAATTAATTTGTTTCCTTTCATTTGAAGTAAAGAGTTTAAGACCAGAATTTTTTGCATTAAGTTTAAAGAGTAAGGCTAAAAAATTTTGTAACATGTACTTGTACATATGTTTATACAGGCCTTTTTATATGTACGTTTCGGAGCTTATTCTTGAAATTTTACAGCAAAGACTAGAAGATTATTTACTGAAAAAATCATTATCAAAATGTCTTACGTTCCAATGTAAAATTGATTTGATGAGGATATGCTATGTTTTAATCCACAAGTGATAAACCTGATGATGTAGCGATTGAACAGAAATGGGCTATTAGAGATAAATTATCAACTGTTACTTGTTTTGTGTAATTGTGATGCTTTTTCCTTAATTTGAATTCACATAACCATGATATAAAAGAAGTTTTCTTGATGGTGTATTTTTCACAGTCAACATAAAATGTTTACTGTACTCAGTTAATGATTAAAAAGCAGTTGTATTTTTTATTGTTTGCAGATCAACTGGCTTATTGTGTAGCACACATGCCAAACATTCTTAATCTCCGACTTATTTCCATGTTTTTACAAGTTTAACTTGAATAATTAGTGCATGGATATTTATTGTGACAATAATTAGGAGACAATGCAAGGGTAGTCTGAAAGAGTTTTGCTGGCAGTAAGTTGCAGATCTTGATACCCAAGTAAGAGAAAGGTGGCGTCTCTGACCGATCCTTTTGCTGTTGCTTGTGGGCGAGTGAGGCTTCTCTGTCAGAACTAGACTAAGAAGACATTTATGCATAAAATATATTGTAATAAGAAGAAAAGGCAACTTAACTATTAATAAAAATAAAGAGTTAAAGAACGTTTATCATGTGTACATGAATATACTAATGCATGATATTATTTGTACATGAATATTCCAGATATATTGTTTTTGACATATATTAGGCATAGACTAGCTAGAAGAAAATGCTTTGAGTGTAAAGGTCAATTTTATGTCTCAATTTCAAATTAGCCTAAAATTGTTTTAATGAGATATATGTAGTTTCACAGTATTCATATTCCTGTCTACCTGCTTGTGCTTATTGAGATTCTTAAAATTGAAACGACAAAAGATGTTTAATGTTATAAGTGTACCATTCCCCTAGATCTTGATATACATGTAGAATCACTGGCTCTTTGTCTTGCAATGTTTGTGCTAATTTATATAAATGAATGCCCTTGTATTCCAGTATGTTCACTAATTTGTGTGGTCATAATGTACTTTCTCTTCTGTCCAAAACTTTTTAAGGATGGAAAATAGGAAATTATCATGGAAAAAGATCTTAAAATCTTTTGTGAATGATTTCAAAATTATCACTTTCAACAATATTTTTCAATTGCATGCTAAAAAGTATAATGACTCTGTGCTTTAAGTTATCCACATTCATTTTTTGAGAAATTTGCCTATAGCACGTGTAGAATTTTTTCAAAAAGGTCTTGTATTTCATGCTGTATATGAAAGACACATAATGAGATGAATAAACTTTTATTTTAAATTTACAACCCATTAAACGGTTTTGATAAGGACTGTTTCTATCATGGATATTGTTTTTTTTTTTTTTTGAAGTCCAAATAGACTGCAGTTTTTACCTTTTGTGCATATTTAATGCTAATAGATTTGAATGTTGTATGCAATTCTATTTTGTAAATTGTTGTAATTAATTTGTTTGGATATGAATTATTTTGTGACCCATTGTTATCAGCGTCTAAAAACTTAATTTCCATTAAATTGTGTATTGTAAAATTCTAAATACTGACAGTATATTTAGCAATATGTAAGAATTTATAATAATAATAATAATGGCATTGAATTCCAATTACTAGTACCTTGGTATAAATTCTGAAATATTATATAGACTTATTAAGTTTTTTAAGATTTATTTGTTTGTATGTCATTAACATAATGTAATAAAATTATATGAAAAATGGATTTGTGTGTGATTGTAAAATAATTGAAAAAAAATTATATATATATGATATATATATTCTACAAGGAATAATGAGATAAAAATAAATATTAAACTAAATCTTTAATAAATCAATAATAAATGTTTAATCCATGTATATAATTATATTTATACATGAGGTATAATATTAGTTATGAAAGGGTTAAATTGGACATATTTGGTAAGTTTTCCCGTATATAATTCAGTTTAAGGAGGTATTGTTCAGTAAAGTGTGAATTAAACAAGAACAAATAATGAGGTAAAACTCTGCATTGAATTTTATTAACCAAACAATATAATATAAACATAAAACTTTATTTTATGTGCATGTTTAATAATAATTATACATTTTACATACTAAAGGTATAACATTTGTTTACGGAAGACTTAAATCTGAATGTATTAGTAAGTTTACAATTTTCCAAACTTTATTAAAGAGCAAGAGCCATTAAGGGCCTTTTTTGGCCCTGAACATTTCTGAAAAATCGAAACTGCCCAGTTTTGGTTGAAAATGCAGTATTTATAACTTGGACCCTTGGTGACAGTGCATCTATTGTACATGACGTAATTTTCTCTCTAGTCAATGCATTATGACGTCATAAAATGCGTCATTTTTCCCATATCCTGTAAATTCCCTTAAAAATGGCCAAAAGTTGAGATATTTTTTTCAATATTTCATATAGAGCACAACCTCTGATCCAAAATATGCAATTACATAATGAAAGATCTGTTTCCGAAGATCACAAAATGTGTTTTAATTTTTGGATCGTGGACTGTGTTCATATTTTAATTCTTTGCTGAAGGTAGTCAAATACGCATATTTTCTGCAAAATTCAAGAACATTGCATTTTCTCAAAGCCTGTTTTCCAATACCTGGATTCTCAAAAAGAAATTTAGTTACAGGAAATGAAAGGACTAAGTCTCTACTTTATTTTGATATATGAAATTGGACAGAGGTTGATAGTCAATTAATTGATACAAGAACAGGGCCATTTTATGCATAAAGTGAACCTAGTTCTTTGTTCTTTTAATTTTCTATTAAACTCGTATTAAATGCTAATTATTTTCTAACGTTTACGATCCCACAATATGTTATACTATGCAGTTAAACATTAAATAACCGCAGCATTTAAATTGCATTTAAGGTAAAAGTAAACCCGACTTTTCATGCAGTGATTGTGCATTTGGGAAACTATTCGTTATTGTAGCTATTTTCCATGGCGTTTGCATGTAAACTAGGTATCTCATCTTGAGTTTCTTCGGATGTTTCGGCATTTACGCTATCATATCTATATTCTTCATGATTTTCTTGAAACAAAAAAAGTGTGTCAACCATTTCAATGGTAAAGATTCGTGTTATATCACTATTGGTAAATTTGTGTGATTACTTTAAAGCATTAATTAATTGAAATAAGCAGGCTATCATAAAATGAAAATTATGTTTAATGACTCTCCTTTCCCTTATTGACGGCTTGTTTCTTGCTTATATTAAGACTTGTGATTATGTTACGTATATTAGAGATTTTTTCTTAGCAGAACTTACCTGTTGTATTAGTTTGGCTATGATGAATTTCTCTTTTGAGGGTATTTCGTTTATAAAACCTATTTTAAGTAAGTTGCACCCTATTTATGAAAAAAAAGTTCTTACTGAATTGAAATTATTAAATGATTTTTTTTCATCATTTTTAACATGCTTAACATCCATTTAGCAATTACGTTACCGACACTTAATGAAGAAAATAAACAGGGCGACAATAAGAATAGCTGTGTTACCGATACTTAATGAAGATGATCAGTGTGACAATAAGAATAGCTGTGTTACCGATACTTAATGAAGATGATCAGTGTGACAATAAGAATAGCTGTGTTACCGATACTTAATGAAGATGATCAGTGTGACAATAAGAATAGCTGTGTTACCGATACTTAATGAAGATGAGCAGGGTGATAATAAAAATAGCTGTGTTACCGATACTTAATGAAGATGAGCGAGGTGACAATAAGTATAGCTGTTACCGATACTTAATGAAGAAGATCAGGGCGACAATAAAAATAGCTGTGATGAGGCCAATAAGAGCATATACTAAATTTATCAAAAAGTCACTTTTTTCTTCTCCTACAAAGAAAACAATATCATTCACTTTTTTCTCTCTTATTTTTAAGGTTAGTAGTTTAAACATTTCGTTCTATAACTTTACCTTAAACTTCAGCTTGGTGCGTATGTTATTCTTGGTATTTTATATAACCTTTAATCTAATTAACATTGATTGCCAGTATCTGACGTATAATAGCTCCTAAACTTGCTCATTGATGAAAAATACTGGAATTTATCTTGATCTCCCTTGTAAAATTTATCAAAAATATTAAGGGGGGGGGGGGGAGTCATATTAAATAAATTTGGTAATAGAATGTAAGGGATACAAATATCTTTGTCGAAATATCTGTTATTTCTACATAAAAATAGCACGTGTCTATCATTCAGCCAACCATATTCTTTACTACACTTTTCATAATCACAGCGACATTTATTTATACAGAGCTTTCCAAAATTAGGGACACATTCACCAGTGCAAATAATACCATGAGTACCTAGAGGACATAAGAATTTGAGATTCGTGAATATTTGAATACCCATTCATTTAATATATTTTTGTTTACTTAAGATATTAAAGCAAACAATAGTACGTACCATTCCAGTAATCATAATAGTTGAGGTAGCACCTTAACATAAATTCCACATTATGTTAAATTAAACGCATGTTAGACATAACTAATTCTATGGGTTGTAATATCTATTTTGCATTGACATTGAAGATCTAAACTTATTTCACATCTATATTTGGCAACCGCTTCTGTAAAAATGTGCAAGTGTAATGACCTCAAATATACCCCTTTTATAAGTTCAAACATGCTACTTTTTTTTAACTTTTAGATGGCCTGAATATCTGAAAAATGTTCCATTTCTGCTTTACACAATTGAAATTATCTGATGT